TCAGAGAGGTGAAAGCAATTTCATCAATGAGCCGCCCGAACATTGTACGTTATTACTAGGTTTGTGCTTGAATGTATATATAATGTGTCAATGTTGCAGCTTGAAAAATATTTTATGCATTTTAATTTCTAGTAGTTTTCATTCTTTTAAGTCTTGGATCGAGCCCGTTGTGTCTGGATGCTCTAGCATGTGAAAAATGAGGACTAGCCAACTAAGAGAGATGCTATTCGACCTCGTTGATGATAATTATTAATCTAGGTGATAGATCAAATCAATTGACACTTGGTCCATGTAATTGGACTTGTCAAGTATGGTCAATCAGACTATTTATATACTCGATTGAAGGATAGCATTATGACGTCCCTTTTGAAGCCATAGTTGATCTTGCTTGATACTTAACATAATGCATGAAAGGATACTTGAACAAGCATATAGTGGTCTGAAAATCATTAATAAAGATCTCTGTGGTTGACTATAGTCATGTCCCCCTTTGTGGTTCCTATGGAATGTTGAATTATTATCATGAACGTAATTTGTCACTTACTTGAATTTTCGTCCTTTTTTTTCTGAGTAGTTGTCACTTTTTCGAACTTCTATCATTTTTTAGGGTTTTGATTGATATTTTGTCACTTTTTTGAGTTAACGTCACTTTTTTAAGTTTTTATCACTTTATTTGAATTTATGTCACTTCTTAAAAAAATTTGTCACTCAAATATCAATTTTTAATAATAATAAAAAAAAAGTGACACTTAACTTTACAATATTTTTACTTCTAAAAAACTTTTTATGTGATAAATAGATTGATTGAGTTGATAGATTTTTTGTTACTTTTTTGAATTTTTGTTACTTTTGAGTATGTCATTTGTTTTTTGAATTTCTGTCAACATATTATGTTACTAGTTTTACATCTCTCAAAGTCATACTACTTTACAATTGATAGTTTGCATTGCCTCATTTATCTCCTTGTATGTTGAACAAAGCACTGCCGTGCGGAGGTAGAAGGTCCACGGGTCGTGAACTTCTTTTCCCAAAGAAAAAGTCACAACAGTAGAATAAGTTGTAAGAGTATGACTCTATTTCTCTCAACACTCTTGATCTCTGGTCCTTTCCACTAGTTATCATGCACTATCTTTTCTTGCTTTGAGATTCATGAGAATAATGGTAGCTAATCTCAGGGTAATGGAAAAGTTAATAAAAAAATTACAAAACTTAAATTTACATAAAATTCAGGTTACAGAAGAGCCCAAACGAGGGGTGTCTAGAATGTAGAGTTGTGAAATTCTTTGCACGAATGATTACGGGATTGTCCATTTTCTAATTTTGCCTATAATATCACGGAGTAATTTGTTGAGTGTGCATTTATTAGTTTTTAAGTAACATTGCTCTTTCTTTTTCTTCTCTTTATTGCAGTTGGAAAACAGTTGAGCTATAATATGTTCCACAACAGAAGTTGTTTGCGAAAGACAAAATCTCGTTCTCAATTGTTTCCCATCTATGTTCTAATAGCCTTCGATTGAATTTATTGCCAATCACTTTTCTAGTAGTGATGGCAATTTACCCTGTCTCGGTGCCGCCCCATCCCGAATGGGGCAAAAAACCCGCCACGTTGCTGGGCGTAAATGGTCACCCCGTCCTCTAACCCTCTCCGTGAAAAAAAAAAAAAAAAAAAAATTAAAAAATTAAAAATAATTTTATTTCTAGAAAATTCATCCCTTAAAAACTCATTTTAAATTTGTATTTTATTCTCTAATAATAAGATAATTTGAAACTTTGAAAATGTAAAACTAAAAAATAAAAAAAATTAAACAGGGTAAGAAGTTGCCCCGTCCTCGGGGCGGGGCGGGGTGGGGGTGCCCCTCCCCAAATCCACCCCGTTGCCATCACTGTTTTCTAGAGAACTTACTTAAGAATCCATGATAAAATGATAGATGGTCCTTATTGTTTTAAGGGTTGATTCTGGCTATCTATCTGTTCAGATTGCTTACCTCAAAAACAGTCTTCAATGTTGTACAACTAGCTTTACAAGGAGATCTTTTTAAAAGACTATAACCTGTCTAAGTGATTCTGTTTTGTTAGTTGACACTATAATTGTGTAGCAATATGGGTGAACTTCTGGCTCTCTCTGAATTTCTCCTGTGCTAGAATTTTGTACTCTAGAATCTATTGCAATGGATAGATAATCATGTATTACAAGGATTGTGTTTTGAGTAAAATTCAATTTGAATTTACATAAATAAGTTAAGTGGTTTTTGAGAACAGAACTCTTAAACAGGTAAATTGTGCTCTATAAAACACTGAAACTTTTTTTTATAATGAATTCTTGTGTAGATGTCTTCATCTTTGAGTTCCGACATATTATGTTCTATTAATGGAGATGTGATATGGATTTCAGTTAAGCTATTCAATGGAGAAGAGTTGAGATATCTAACAAATTTTAACGAGTTTGATTGTATAGTCAATAGTCATGCTTTGCTTTTTGTACAACTTCACTTCTTCATAGTTCTGGATTAGTTTTGTGATTCTTGAGGATACTTTTTGAAAGGTTCGGTGCATTTGGCGTTGTGGCAAAAAGCAAGAATGTGTTGGACAAAAAGGTTTATGCAGTAAAAAAAATTTCCTTGATGGCTGCCAACATGTTTTTCGAGAAAATTTTGAGGTACAATATACAATTTTCAATTACAAATTTTTCTACTTGTTATAAAAATTTCATGTATAAACTATTATATGTTAGTTAAAAGAGTTTGTATAAACATTTTCATATAGGAATCATCATTAAATATATGCTAAAGTACGTTACGTTTGTGTACAAATTGCATGCTTAATAAATAAACTTAATAGATAAAGACTGAATTGTAATTCGATAATTTATTACCTGAAAATATCATTAACAAATAAAAATTAGCATCCTATTATAAATAAGCATAACTTTTTTGAAAGAATATTGAATTCTCATGGACTGCAAAAACTTAGTAAAACGTGAGACATTCCACATTATCGTTAGTTGTAAATAGTTTTTATTTCATATTACATAATATCAGACTATGATATTATAAAAAAATAATAAAATAAAAATTCAAATTTAGATATGCAAATCATAATTGTGAACTAAGATTACTAATTTCAACAGATTGTAATTTCATTTACATTTAGTTTTGGTGATTTATCGCCTTAACTCTTACATATGATTTATCAATGCCCACCAACACTGCAGACTACCCACCACCATAACATTCTCTTTAAATTATCTTCCCCATCATTCATCTTGTAGGCCATCCTTATAATTTCTAATTGATTTGTTCTCACGCAAACACAACTACAGGAAACGAATACAATGATTTCTATTTGATAAATCACCAAAACTAAATGTAAATAGAATTACAATCTGTTGAAATTAGTGATATTAGTTCACAATTATGATTTGCATATCTAAATTTGAATTTTTACTTTATTATTTTTTTTATAATATCCAAGTTTGATATTATGTATTATGAAATAATTACTATTTACAACTGATGTTAATATGACATGTCTTACATTTTACTAAGTTTTTGAAATCCATTAGAATTCAGTATTCTTTCAAAAAAAGTTACGCTTATTTACAATAGGATGCTAATTTTTATTTGTTAACAATATTTTCAGGTAATTAAATATGGAATTACAATCCAGTCTTTTTCTATTGAGTTTATTTATTAAGCATGCAATTGTACACAAATGTACTCTAGTATATGTTTCATTATTCCTATATGAAAATGTTTACACACACTCTTTTAACTAATATATAATAGTTTATACGTGCAATTTTATAACAAGTAGAAAAAATTGTATATTGTACCTCAAAATTTTCTCAAAAGACACATTGGCAATCATCAAGGAAATTTTTTTTACTGCATAAACTTTTTTGTCCAACATATTCTCGCTTTTTGCCACAATCCCAAATGCATCGAACCCTGCATAAAGTATCCTCAAGAATCACAGAACTAATCTAGGACTGTGAAGAAATGAAGTTGTTGTACAAAAAAGCAAAGCGTAAACTATTACATATACAACCAAACTCGTTAAAGTTTGTTAGATATCTCGACTCTTCTCCACCGGATAGCTTAACTGAAGTCCATATCACGTTCCCATTATTAGGACATAATATGTCGGAGTTCAAGGATGAAGACATCTACACAACCATTCAATATAAAAAAGAGTTTCAGTGTTTATAGAGCACAATTTACTTGTAAAGAGTTATGTTGTCAAAAACCATTTAACTTGTTTATGTAAATTCAAATTGAATCTTACTCAAGACGTAGTTCTTTTAATACATGATTATCTATCCATTGCAATAGATTCTAGAGTAAAAAATTCTTCCACAGGAGAAATTTTAAGGGAGCCAGAAGTTCACCTATATTGTTACACAATTATAGTGTCAACTAACAAAACAGAATCACCTAGATAGGTTAGAGTCTTTTAAAAAAAACCTTCTTGTAAAGTTAGTTGTACAACATTGGAGGCTATTTTTTAGGTAAGCAAATTGATAGCCAGAATCAGCCCTCAAAACAATAATGAGGTTTGTCTTTCGCAAACAATTTCTGTTATGGAACAGAGTATGTCTCAACTATTTTTCAACGTCAATAAAGAGGAGAAAAAGAAAGAGCAATATTACTTAAAAACTAATAGTGCAAACTCAACAAATTACTCCGTGATGTTATAGGCAAAATTAGAAAATGGACAATCATGTAATCATTCGTGTAGAGAATTCCACCAGCTCTACATTCTAGACGCCCCTCATTTGGCCTCTTCCGTAACCTGAATTTTATGTAAGTTTAAGCTTTGTAATTTTTTTATTAACTTTTTCATTACCCTGAAATTAGCTACCATTATTCTCATGAATCTCCGAGCAAGAAAGGATAGTGCATGCTAACTGGTGGAAAGGACTTGAGATCAAGAGTGGTGAGGGAAATATAGTCATATTCTTGCCGCTTATTCTACTGCCGTGACTTTTTCTTTGGGAAAAGAGATTTGCGATCCGTGGGCCTTCTACCTCCACACGGCAGTGCTTTGTTCAACATGCAAGGAGATAAATGAGGCAATGCAAATTATCAATTGTTAAGTAGTGTGACTTTGAGAGATGTAAAACCAGTAACATAATATACTGATACGGTCAAGAAAACAAGGGGCAGAGGGTTCATGGGCATCCTAAAGCAATACAAAACTGATTGTTCAATTGATGGAGAAACAAGAATTAGATTGAGCTAAAACTTGCAGATAATTTGTTCAAAATCTCCATGAGTTGGAGTTTTAGACGGCCGGCATGTTGAAGGTTATGTTGGGAGTCATCGCTCTTTACAAGTTGGACCTTGGAAGTATTCCTTTTGAGTTAGATCACTATTTTCGAGGTTGACCTGGTGCGGCCCAGCATAGATCGGAGCACAAGGATGAGCACTGTCCTCTCTAAAGATATCACAGATTTGTAGTGTGGTTGAATCATAAATGAACTACGGATTGGAATTTACAGAAGACCAAAGGTCTTTGCTAGTTTTCTGATAATTTCAAAAGGAGTCAAACTGTTTGAGAGATTCCATTAGGTTTATAAGCATCTTTTAGAAGGCTTTTAATTGAATCTCTGGCTTGTGGCACTCTTCACCTTGCCAAACATTAAATTCGATGATTAGATGCACGACAGCTAGCGGAATAGGATAGAAAGCCCCAACTAGAGTGGTTAGTAAAAGTGACTGAGGAATTCAGAGGTGGTCCAACCTAAGTGTAAGGGTGAGGGCATTGGTAAGCCTAGTGAATGGACTGGGGATGTGACTGTCTAAAATAGGTGAGTTAACGGAATGCACATCTCCCATTATGAAAATAAAGATATTTTTCAAGTTCTAAGGTCTAATGATATGCTTCCACTAAAGAATTGCGAGTTTAGTGAAACTTCAAACTCAATACCAGGCTTCCATTGATGAAACTAATGGCCGTGAGATAAGGATCTTCGTGAATATAACTAAACGTCAACGTCTCAAAATGAGTCATGTACTGAACCATAGTGGAAGAACCCGATAATTGGTTGAGGAAGTTATCTAACAATTGGGTTTTATACGGCAGGAACATATTTTTCTATTACTAGCATTTCGTTTTGTCTCCTTCAATGATAGGGCCTGACCTGATCATTCAAATGAGCACACTGGGTGTCGTGCATGCCATACCAATCAAACTACCTTATGGGCAATTGAGAAAGACCTCGGGGTCAATGAGACCATAAAAAGTTGGCGACTCTAGTTTGACTTTCTAAGTGACACAATTATCGTCCTCAATGTTGTGCCTAGTGTGTGTAGATGGGTGGGAACAACGTAAGAGAAGACACGTGTTATCATGCTATCGATCACCAAAGAGGTCGTCGATCTCAACATCGTCTCCACGATTGGTAAGCAAGGGGGTGTGGGTAAGAGACAAGATCAGGGGTTTTTAAGTCCTCTATGTGGTGGGTGCCTAACATTTTAGTCTAAGATAAACTGATCACCTCGTTCTTGCAATAGTTACCAGAGTACATAAAAGATAGTGACAATGGTTTAAACTCTAGCTTAATTATATTAGACAACTTTTTCTTGGAAGAAGATTAGTTATTGAACATATTTTTTAGATGGTGTGGTAATTTTTCAAGTTTTAGTGCGGCGATACTGTTGGGAGTTTTAATCAAAATTAACAACAGCAATAAACAGCTGTGTATTTTTTTAAATTGAAAATTTTCAGACTACTAGTAAGGAGAGACTCAAATTTGGGTTTTTATTTTTATTTTTATTTCCAGATTATGACCTATTACAATGAAGCGAAAATTTAGATTTTTGTTTGTTAAACATCATATATGCCAACCACGTAATTTTAAATAAATGAACTCATATTACCTCAGACGTGGCTGTGTGGTAATTGGTGTTGTTTGCGGTGGTAATTTGCTTGTTTTGATGGCTATGAATCTAGACGATAGTGGCGTTGGAAGGGTGATATTTCTATGGTTTTTGTGGCAGTTACTGGTGGAGGTAAATATAGCGGTGTTCGCGATTGTAATGTTTCCTAGGGTTTTTTTCGAGTATACTAGTGGAGGTAGATGTGTGAGGTGTGTTTGATGACGTTTGGGGGTGTCTTCGGCAGCGGTTTGGTGGCGTTTATGTTTGTTGTTTCGGTTGTGGTTTGACGGCGGTTTGGTGATTGTTGCAGTTTGGCGGCGTTTGGTAGTGTGTGCGGTGGTGATTTTTCGGCGTTTAGTGCCTGTGAATATACACTGTGTTGGGTGTGGGAGAGTGATGATGGTTCTAAGTTTTTCCTTGCGGTTTCTGGTGGAGGTAGACTTGTCGGCGTTCACTGTTGTCGATTGGCGGTATTTGTCGGTCTTTGCTGTGGTGGTTCCTAGGTGCTTGGTGGCGGTGGGAGGCTAGTGTTTGCGGTGGCGATCATGACTGTAGACGGCGACGATCGAAAATCTATAGTTTGGTACTAAACTCGTTTTGGCTAGTGTGTGGGCTACAATTTGGGCTAGGGTCAATTCTAGTGTTAGCGTTTCTCTTCTTTTGTTAGGCTACGAAATGGACTAGGTTTTGGGTTTTAAAGGTTGAATTTTGGGCAACTTACAAAAATACCCTTAAAATTAGAGGTGTTTTGAAAAATCATATAAGAAGTTTTTTTTGAAGTAAAAAATAACGTGTAAAATCAAAAAGTGACACAGTACCACTTTAATAAAAAAATAAAAAAAAACTGACACAAACGCATAAAAAGTGACAAAATTCAAAAAAAAAGTGACAAAAACTCAAAACAATGACAAACTTGTCAAAGCTAGCACCATCCATTTGTGTAGCACCAATAATCATATTCTTAACATAATTAGTATATCTAGAACAATCTACACTAGTTTAGTGGCAGTTCTTAACATAATCAGCATGTCTAGGACAATTCACATGCTGATTATGTTAGGAAAATTTAACATATCATGTTATTTTTTTATCTTATTAAGTAAGTGACAAATTTGAAAGGTGACAAAAACTCAAAAAAAGTGACAATGTCACTTTCAAAAGTTTAGTGTCACATTTTTATGAAAAAATGACATGCAATGTATCTTTTTATTAAGAGGTAATATTTGTCACTAAAAAAAAGTGATAGAAATTGCAAGAATGCGATTGATAAAAAAGTGACAACTACTAAAAAAAAAGTGACAAAAATTTTAGAAAAAAGTGACAAATATTAAAAAAAGCGACAAAAATTTAAAAAAGTGATGAAAATTTAAAAAAAGTGACGAATTTTAAAAAGTGACGAATTAAAAAAAGCTACACAGATTTAAAAAAAAGTGACAGAAAATAAAAATATGACGAAACATCGATAAAACCAATATCATTTTATGCAAATTCAATCCAAACTAGAATCGACCCAACAACTACTTGCATAAAATTAATTCAATTCAAACACAATCATTACAAACATAAATACTCTTTATTGAGGAGGAAAATTTCTCCTTGAACAAATCTTGCCTCAAAAGAAATCAAAATAAAGAAGTACACGGCTACTAATTTCTTATTCTCGTTTTCAATCTTCCTACTCTCCCCATCTCCAATAAATTGGCATAAACTGGCCTAAAATCAAGAAAACGAGCAGAGACTAGTGAGATAGCAAGGGAGTAACGTCTATTTTCATTTTTTTTTGCCATATATGATATTCAAAGAATCTTTCAAACCATATTGACATATAGAATTAGATTAATCTATACATCAAACACTTGGTTTGCACATTTTGATGAACTTGCAGAAGTTACTTTTCTGGCCATCTACAGTGTGAATCTGCCATGAAAATGTTTCTCATGGTTGGTAGAAGAAGCCTTGATCAAGATACAGGCAACAATTTGAGTACTCACTCTCTCTTACTCGAATTGGTAGATACGAAGAAGGCATGGATTTGCACTCAAACTATATGTTTGAAGAGAGACTTGTTCATTCACATAGTTTTCGAGATCTAGAAGGATGTTCGGGTTGTAAGGGCTGACGACGATGAGTTGCTCCATCGTTTATGACATGGTTGACGGCTGCTGCTTCTGATTAGGTGTTGAATTAGCCATCTCTCTGTCCATTCTCACGTTGTATCTATAAGTGCATTATATTGATTTGGTAAATTTAAAGAATGCAAAGTGGTAGAAAAGATACTTGTGTATGGTACATAGGTTGCCGTAATTATTACAGGGTTTACGTTATGTTTAATTAATTTAGGGTATTAATCAAATTGAGTCACTTTTTAGAGCATTGGGCCTAATTTCCTCATGAATTTTTCATCCTTTGGGCTTCAACCTAATGGGCTTGTCGTGGAAAGAATTTTAGAGGAATTACATGCAATACCTATTTTAAAATAACAATTCACAAAAAGGGAACTCAAAAAAATACCCCTAAATTAGGAATCTTTTGAAAAAATCATATGAGAAGTATTATGAAAATAAAAAATACTAAGGGTTCGTTTGATTGCAAAAATGGAATTTGAGTGGAAAGAAAACAAATTTCAAGAAATTGAATTGTCCAGAAATTATTTTACTAGGAATTGTTAATTATTGTGTTTGAATGATATAATTTTTCATGTGGAAAATGTTGAAATAAAAGTGTTTTTTGGTATTCGTTTAACTTTGTTTTATATGAAAATTGTCAATTAAAGGGATATAATTTGCTGGTATTGGAGATGAGATTTGTTTCTATTGCCAAAAAAAAGAAGCAAAAGTCAAGAAAATGATCTATCTTTTGGTGTTCGTTTGAATCTGTTTTACATGTAAATTGTTAATCAAAGGAAAATATTTTTTTATAATTAGAAATAGAATTTATTTCCATTGCAAATAAATACAGGAATAGCCTAAAAAATTAATTCCAACCATATTGAATAAATGAACGGTCCATTTCTATTGAATAAATGCTGGAAAAAGGAGAAACTTGGCATCAATTACAACATATTATATTTCCGGAGTGCCTTTAAATGAAATTGTGAAAGATTTTTAAAATCCTTCTAAGTTTAGGTGTCCTTGATTGAAAGTTTAATGAATTTTAATGAAATTTATTATAATTTAGGTTCTCCAATGGAGATTTTCAAGAAAAACCAAGAAAATGTCTAGGTAGCAAGAAAATCAAGAAAACCAATTACCTAGAAAAAAAAAAAAAACTATCAAACAATGAAAAAGTAGAAGTTGGATTTTGAATTCTATTTTTCATGGAAAATAATGGCCTATCAAATAGGCCCCAAGTAAAATTGAGTGTTACCTTTTGATTTGTCACTTTTTGATACAAAATATCACTTTTTAAACGTCACTTTTTTTACTTAAAAAATGAAGTACAATGTCTCTTTTATTAAACAAGTGATGTTTGTCAGTAAAAAAAGTAATAGAAATTTAAAGGAAGTGATAGAAAAAAATTGACAAACACTAAAAAAGTGACAGAAATTCAAAAAAAAAAAAATAACAAATAAACACTCAAAAGGAACAAAAATTCAAAAAAGTGACAAAACATCTATCAACTCAACCAATCTATTAATTATATACAAAGTTTTTTAGAAGTAAAAAATATTGTATAAAGTTAAGTCACTTTTTTTTTATATTAAAAATTGATGTTTGAGTGACAGAAAAAAGTGACATAAATTCAAAAAAAATGATAAAAATTTAAAAAAGTGACAAAAGATCAATCAAAATCTTAAAAAGCCAAAAAAGTGTCAAATACTAAAAAAAAAAAGGACTAAAATTCAAGAAAGTGACAAATTATGTTCGTGTTAATAATTCAACATTCCATAGGAACCACAAAGAGGGACGTGCGTAGTCAACTATAGAGATCTTTGCTAATGATTTTCAAACCAATATATGTTTGTTCAAGTATCCTTTTCAAGCATTATGTTATCAATTATGGCTTCAAAAGGGACGGCTCTTTGAATGAATAAATGGAACCATTACGCATTATGAATCCTTTACAAAATAGCATTTCATTAAATTAGTAATCTGGAAAAAGTAATTATCAAACAGCACATTACATAGATCGTCTAATCAAAGGGTTAATGATGATATATATTTATAACTCGCATCCATTATACAACAATTCTATAATCAAATAGAGTGAACAATTCTTGGAACGCCTTTATTATTAAACCCACCCTCCATCTCATTATACACCTCTGGCAATTGCTTCCTCATTCTTTAAAATCAGCTCACGGCAAATTCACCATCAAGCAATCTCCATATCGTCAATCCAATAGTTGCATCACCATTCCCCACCTCATTTACTCCTCTGTGCACTTCACCATCGCTATTATCATAGTTATTACTATCAATCGACTACTCATATCTGCAAGGCATGGTAGTGTTCAAATGTTGAAGACGAAATGTCTGACACTTTCTTATTCTAGAAATCTTGATGGTTGTATACCATTCTTTCTCTTGATTCTCACCATTGATGGAGAGAAATAAGGTAGAGAGTGCAAAATTTGATTATAATGTGATGCCTCCCAATTCTTTGTAGTGACAATCTAGTGAAGATATATTACGAGTTTTTGGGGAGGGGTTTAGGAGGTTTTATAACGTATTAAGGTTTTGTTAGAGTCTCATTACTTCCTCATTAAAAAGAAAAATGTGATCGTTATCCATCACATCAAGTCATCATATTTGACTTTTTATCTCTTTTGTGATGTCCATAATGACTATATTTTTCATTCTCATTTTTACAATAATATGGCTCAAACGGGGGCTAATTATGTTTTTAATTTAGGGTATTGGGCCAAATTTGTCCTTCATAAAATCCATTACAACCTTTTTCATAACTTATTGCTGCATTTTACAAAGTAAAAACAGAAAACAATAAGCAATCACGTATCAATTTTTTATTTTTTTTTATTTTTAACAACTTCTAGCACCAGACAAGTAGCAATTTAATTTAGGAAAATTTGCAATCGAGGTACCAAACATTTTGTTTATAGCAGACTTAACACAAATCTTTCATTTGTATCACCCACAATACCAAACCTTTCAAAAACTTACAGTTGAAGTCCAAATGGATAGAAATTGTTAACTTGATCGTTAATTGACCAAGTAATTAACATTGACCTGAATTTTGACTAATTTTAATAGCATAAGATGGTAATTTTACATTTTTCAACAAAAAAAACATAACTACAATATATTAATAACTAAATTTCTTTCAAAATTAGTCAAAATTCAAGTCAATGTTAGTTATTTGGTCAACTAGCAGTGAATTAACAGTTTTCATTTGGACTTCAACAGTGAGTTTTTCGAAAGTTTTGTACCGTGGGTGGCACAAATTAAAGAATTGGATCAAGTCTGCTAATAAACAAAATGTTTGGTACTTGGCTGCAATTTTCCCTTTAATTTATTCAATTAATGTTCAATATCCCAAAATTTTCTCCTTTACCTATGACTGGACATGGTATGATTCAGTTTCTCGAATCGTCGAGTCCAAATTTAATTATAGAACCATTCGAGTTCGGTTCAGTTCAGTCTCATATAATGATTAAACTTTTTGATATTTAAAACGTCGCTACATTAATTTAACTAATGATATGCTCAATCTAAGCTCTGACAAAATAATGTAATTTAATCTTATATATCTTTTGCGTTTCTCTTTGTTGAATTCTTCATATATTTGATTATTAAAATTATAGAAAAATGAAGATGGCGAGCTAGCAATAATGGAAAGAGGTATAGTCGAGCTTCCAATTCAATTTTCTCCATGACTGTAGAGAGTGCACGACAATAGAATAATATGTTTGAGTAAAATTTAGGTCAATTTAATCAAGTTGGGCTTGGTTGAAAATTAAAAATAGGAAAATCATATTTTGGATTTTGGTTAAATTAATTAGTTAACAAATTTATTTAGAAAAAATAAAATAATTTAGTTTATTAAAAAAATAAATTTAAAAAATTAGGGACATTCAGTTATTCGATTCTTGGTTTAGAACGAGAACTGAACCAAACTTGTTGACTTTCGATTCAGATTGACACGCCTCGCTTCGAGTAGCACTAATGGACCTGAAACGTGACATACGCTCGATGATATATACCAACTGAAAGTCGAATTCACCATCCATGCTACTACAACCATAATATGCAACTTTGTATAAATATTTTTAACAGAATTTCGGCATTATCTTCCCTATAAATAGGACAACCAAGCTGTAATCCACTATACACATGTCCAAAACTATATTTGCCCCCTCTCAGATATGATTTTGGTGCTTAAAGGG